GCCTTTTAAAGGCGAAGCAACCCCCCGCCCCCCTTCCATTTCCCCTTTCCCATTTCCCCTACCCGCTTTCCACGTAAAATGGGTGCTTGTGTGTTAAGTTCGGCGAATAAAGTAAGACCCTTGGCAGCTATGCCGAAAGTTAGGCGATGGCTGCGTGGCCATAAAACGGATTAACACGTTTAATATTCAATTTGCGCACACGCAGCGCTCTAAAAATGCCGCAATGGCACTCGAGGCTAGGAAATTTCCCTCTGCTCCCTCTGCCCCCTCTGCTCCTGGGCATTTCATTCTATTAACGGTAGTTTAAGTGCCAGCATTCGTCGGGGTAATTGCGAATTATGACGGCCAGTGAAATGGAACTTCTGGCCATTAGCTTCACCCGAGGATCGCTGTGATCACCAGAAACTAGTTGGAAGAGACTTTTTGAACAAGTATTTACTTGAATAGCTCACAAAACACTCTTCGCTCTTCGCAGGGCTCGACATTCTGGCGAATCGGGTTTCCCACCAGCTTTTCCCATCGCCCCACTCCCCTCCCCCCGATTTCTGACTTTCGCAAGTGCGTCTGCTGCACTCGCTGGCCAAAAATTGTCCATCATGTTCGCCTGCCTGTTCGAGTCCGTCCATCCAACGAGCCTTTTCCCGAATGCCACTTGGCCCCAAACGCTGGATGCTGAATGCTCAACGCTCAATGCTGAATGCTGAATACTGAATGCTGAATACTGAATGCAGTTTGCCCTCTGGGGGCTTAACTGCAAAATCATGCAGAAAATGCTCGAGCTCGGGGGACTGCCAGCGGAATAGCGATGGAGATGGGATGAGGAGATGGGATTGGATGGGATTGGATTGGATTGGGCTTAGGCCCTCGAACAAAGCCACTTAACTGATGCGCTGACTAGCCTTGTAGGTTTATATAGTTTGTGGCTGGTAGTTGGTAGTCGGCGGACTGGAGTCCAATCTTCGGCTCCATCTGGGACCCTGAGAGCCAAAAGGCTGGAAAATCTCCATCTCTGTATATGTATCTGTATCTGCATCTGTATCTGTATCTGCATCTGTATCTGCATCTGTATCTGTATCTGTGTATCTGTGTATCTGTGCAAGTTGTTTACTCGCCGCTCTCGAGTGCTTCCTAGGAAAATGACGACGACTGCGAGTGTGAGTGCGAGTGCGAGTGCAACTGCAGGTTGAAGTGGATGGTGGATAGTGGATGGTCCAGGTTGCATTTGGCTGATCATGCAGCTGGTTTAAGTTCGGGCGGAGGGGCAGGGGCAGGGGCGAGCGAACTCCTTTCAATGCCTGCCACTTGTTGTCATCAATTTCTGGCTCTCTGTTTATCTGTTTATCCAGCGGGGCCACTTGCAGTTCGGTTGCACTTCGCTGGAAAAAACGTTGGGAAAACCGAAAACGCAGAGCGGGAAAACCACGCGTATCATCCGTCTGTCCATATTTGTTTTCGTTTCGTTTCGTTTGGTTTAGTTTGGAATCGTTTCGTTTCGTTGTAACCCAAACTTGTAGTTTTCTAATTAAAAAATTATTATGAAAATAATAGGTGCTCTTTTCGTTACCGTACTCAGTTCTCGGTTCTCCTTCTCCTGGTTTTCGACAGACTCATTGTCACATAATTAACACTTGATACAGCAATTTGTGTTCGCTTTTCGGGGTACTTTCCCAGCAGTTTCCTCGCCCGATTGGGAAAATGTGCTAAAACTATCGAATTTCCTTTATTGCGGGGCAGGAAATGTGCAAAGGCAAGGACTTGTATCGGAAGTGCGTACTTGCGGAGCACAATAATATCGCAGAAACATCTCAGACACCTCCTGGCCCTCGTTCATTATGTTCCCGAGGAGCAGATTCCTATCGCTGCTGCTATTTTTTGAGGATTTCCCCTTTGTCCTGTCTCTTTGTTGGCAATTATTTTGGCTTTCGAAATTGGTGCTATTGATTTACAGTGGCAAGGACACGCGTGAGAGGGACCATTTGGGAGACTGCTCCCTGTTCTAAAGTTCTTACTCATTTCGATGCAATCCATGAGATCTCAGAGCTGTTTGCAACCATCAACAAGCTTTGTTAAGAGTTTTGAAACTGGGTGATTTGGGCGAATCTGTTAATCATTTAATCAGTGAAAATTGCTGAGAATCGCACTCGCAAAGTCGCTCATCCGCTGTTTGGTTTCCCCTTCAAAGGAAAACCCAATTAGGGAAACCAATTTGGCTTCAATTATTTGCCATTAAGACAAATCCACTTTCCAGAGCGCAGGGAAAAATTGCCCATGACTAAGACGGCAACAACAACAACAACAAAGAAGACAACACAATGGCCAACAAAAAGTGGCGCTGACAACCAAATGGCTCACAAGGCGGCGACTCAGCCAAATGTGCGAAGAAAAATAAAGACACAGGAAAGTACAGGGCAATACAAGTACAGGGGAATCTCAAGCGAGGTAAACACGAGGAAAGGTGAAAGAAAAATAGTTTGTCCGCATTACACGGAGACAGCGATACGGACAAAAGGACACAACATACGCCAAGGATCTCTCGGGTAAATATTTATTAGAGCCAGCAGCCAGGAGCCAGGAGCCAGGAGACAGGAGCCAAGGCGAGCGGAGAGCTCCTCAATGGCCACTCAAATTAGGGCTAACAACGTGCAAGTAGCAATTTCGCCCGAGAAAGGAAAGGATGAAAGGATATAAGGATGAAAGAATGAAAGGATGCTGCACACCGCAGCCACCTCAGCCAACTCAGCCACCTCAGCCTTCATTTTCCGATGTTCCAGCTGCGGTTAAGCACTCGAGTCGATTTATTTTGTACACAATTTACCTCGGGAAACTAACGCCCCGTGTCCTGCTATCCTGCGATCCTGCAAGCCAGGATCCAGTATCCAGTGGCCGCCGTTTGTTGCCTTTTTTACGGCTCAAGAAGGAGCCTCGGGGTCTCAACTTCTGCTGTTGTGCAAACAAAGTGCGAGCGGACCTTTGGCAAATAGACCACGATGGGCATGACCGACAAGAACGAAGAAAGTTGAAAGGATGTGCCAGGATGCAGGCGGAGAAATTGAGCACTTCGAGAGTTCCGAAGTCCCGAACAGCAAATTGGTGGGGGTAATCGCGTGGAAGTGAAGAAGTAGCCATTAAGTGCTCGGCTAACGATATTATTTGCAGGTGCCCCCGTTTTCTCGCAGTGCAGAGGTGCAGCCAGAACCCAGCCAGATAACAGATAAACAGCACTCTGAAGTGGCTGGCAACAGCTCCCGGAAAGGTCAACAATGACGGAGTGACAATGACGGAATGACTGGATGACAAACGGAGAAACCGAAACCGAACCCAACCGAACCGAAACGGAGAGCCACACAAACGGAATGACAAATAAACAGATGTAATGTGTGAAAATTTAACAAATTAAGTGCGTGTAACTCTCGGATACAATTGTATCTGCGATGTGCGGTGTGTGTGCGTGTGTGTGTGTGTGTGTGTGTGTGTGGAGAGTGTGAGGAAAGGGGCGTGCAACTCTGGCCTAAACTGTGCGGAGGCGTGGCCATTCGCCACATAAGAAGGTGGCATGTGTGGATGTGGTGCCGCAAAACAAGCACCACTCTATGTATTTAACATGGAAAAGAAAATAAAGTTGTGCATAGAAAAACAGAAGTTTCCTGAAACACATTTAAATCTACGAGGATTCGTCTGTGGAAAATTGAGGTTGCTTGAACAATAGGTAAACATTAGTGAACAAATTTAAAGCTGAATGTGCCACATATCTTTTTAACGAAACTCCACTGGCTATCGCATTTTAATCGATGCTCGTGCTAACTGGAGTTTGCTAATTTCCCTGAAAATTACGCGCTTAATTAGCGATACACACACACACACAGCAGCAGAGAGACCGAAATCGAGCTTTGAGTGAAGTGTGTGTGAGATTTCACACTTTGCTGACAGGACGCCCGCCCCTCTCTCCTTCCCCGTTTCCCCGTTCAGTGTGTACACTTAGAGAAACTAACTATTCCGATTTCCGATTCTCTGTATAAACAACGCGAGATGCTAAGCATAATAAATATATCATCAGAGAAAATGGCAGAGGATCCTACTGATTTTTATTTTCCAAATGAAAAGAACCCATTCAACACCTTGCTGTATTGTAGGGCAGTTTTTTCGAGTGCATGAGTGTTATTAATAAGCTCGGACCCCCTCGAACCCCTCGGCCCGCATGCCGCCCTTTGTCTTGTGCCTAATCGTGTCGCTTCATTGTTTTAACTCCGATGAGGACGCAACTCAATTGCCAACCCCTTTGAGCTTATTAGTTGCGCCTACGGGTGGGCCAGGGGAGGAGGGGCCAGGACCCAGGACGGAGGACGCAGGACGAGGGACTCGGAGCAGGGAGCACGAAGCACGAAGCACAGCAGACAGATGCGGTTGCCACTTGGCTGCACCCGTACGGCTGGCTGTATGGCAGATGCAACAGAGTGTTGAACGCCGCATAGCTGAAGCATCTGAAGCTCCTGTCCCGCACTCCCCACTCCCCCTAATTAGCCTCCTCTGGCGGGCTTTGTGCCCATTCGGGCCAACTCACTGGCAAAGGTAGAATATGCTTTGTCGCTCCCAACAAAGGGATGCCAACTAAATTCCCCTGGAAGCGTGTAAATCGCTCCCAGCAACGAGCAATGCAAAAACAATACATTTGCGATACACTGGGCGAGATGATTAGCTGTCAGCACAATAGTTCAAGTCTACCGAAAATCATTTCTCCGTTAGGCATTTAATAAAAGTGAGAAGTATAAATATGGTACAATTGAAATACATATTTAAGCTCATTGCTTAAATGTGTTTTGGTAGGGAATCCCTAGTGAGTGAGTTTTACTAGGAAAGGAAAGCTCATAAACCTCATAAAGTGAAAGGGATAACTATCCGGCGATAATCACTGATGTGTAATGTGCAAAGGCACCTGGATGGCCCCTCCTGCTATCGGTTTGGACACTTGTTTTCGGGTTTGGGGGATTCTGGGGACCACTCACCTGCAAACTGGGCGCCGAAGTGCTGCTGGAAGTGCCCCCGGAACTCGTGGGGCGTGCTGAACCCGGGCGGCAGGAAGCCGCGCAGGTAGGCGGCCGCCGCCAAGGTGGTCATGTGGTGGTGGTGGGCCGCCGCCGCGTTGCCCGGATCCGCTGCAGCGGCGTACCCGGCGGCGGCGTAGAAGTTGGCCGGATTGAACACGGGCAGTTGGCAGTGGGCGGCGGCCGCCGCTGCCGCCGCTGCAGCCGCCGAGAGTCTGGACACGTCGGGCGATATGGACCGGGAGTCCCTCAGGCCGTCCAAGGCCTGCTGTTGCTGTTGCTGTTGCTGCTGCTGCTGCTGCTGCTGCTGTTGCTGTTGCTGCTGTCCCGACGACATCGAGCCGTTCGCGGGCGTACTCGTGGCGGGCGGGGGCGTGGCTGCCGGCGAGGGCGGCGCCTCTGTGGGCGTGCCAGAGGCGTTGGTGCTGTTCTGCTGCTGGTAGGCGCCCAGCCCCAAGATCTCCTGGATGGCAAAGGGCGTTCGCATTTTGGTGGCCTGCATTTCGCCGACGGTACTTTTGCACTATGTGGTTTCCGTTCTAAGTTCTAAGTTTGTGTTTGTCGACAGAGTTGCAACTCGCAAGTTTCTATTTATTGCACTTTTTCATGACAGCTGTCAAGCACAACTACACGCACACGTCACAGGAAAAAAGATCACTCACGCACTTAGGGTTTGTAGGTGTGTTTATTTCTGTGTGATTTTTATTGTTTTAATGTGGGGTTTTGAGCGCTGGAGCGTTCGGTGCGGCGTTCGAAAACGAACTGAAATTGAAAAGCGAATTGCACGCCAGCAAAAGCGTCGCGTTGCGCGTCGCTGCCGATGTCGACGCCGCTGCCGACGTCGCTGCCAGCTCCCACACACAGCCGGCAAAGCAAAAACAACTAGCAGCGCCATCTTTGCGGGCAAAAAGGGGATGGCAATAGCAGCTCCATGCCTCCGTCCCACTCACTCACCCGCATTTCCCTTGGAAACTTCCAACGCAGAGGGGTTATTGTCTGCCCTTCTCGCTCCGACTTCTAGCCGGCAGCTATGGCCATCTCATTCTGCGCTGGAAGTCCCTCACGTACACTGTATACACTGTGCGTGTGAACTAGCCAAGTATGGGTGTTAATTACACGGGGTTTCATTTCGCTCCAAATTTTTCGGCTTCTCGTCTTCAGTTTGTTTTGCGACGCCAATGATGGTAAATGTCCTTATGTACATATGTAATTATATTTGCAAGTGGGAGAGTGTGCGTGTGCAATTGGAATTATATTTTTCTACGTTGTTTTTTTTTTTTTAAGTTAATAAATAAATCTAAGCAAAGGCAAGGATTTAATGCTATTCGAAAATATCCACACCGCTTTTAAAGAGTAGATATTGAAAAATGCCCGCCAAAATTAGAACTTAATAAAATAAAGCGGTGTTCTAAACTATATTTAACATGCACAAGTAACACTCTATTTTATATTTTTTCGTTTTTGTTTGTGCCGTAAAAGACATTTAACTTTGTAATTTAAATAGATTTTTGTTTTTGTTCCGGTTTTTGTAAAATATAGATAGATTTTAAAGCTATCATCTATTAAATACAATCTCTAGATTGTTCTTAGCCAATTACTTAGTGTCGGGCTCTAAAAAGAGCAGGATATTAGGTTGGCCAGAAAATCGAATTAAAATTCCTCTAAAATTTTCTTCGCTCTCTCTTCGCCTCTCGGGCTTTCTCCGCTCGTTGGCACTCTCTCGTTTTCTCTCTGAAAATAAAGTTTTCCTGGAAGTTTTCCGTCCCCTGCGCTTTTCCGTTTTCCGCTTTCCACGTTTGTCCCCAAATTGCGAGCATTGTTCAGGCCAAAGTTGGTCATGTTAATTAAGCTGCGCTCGCCCTCTCTCTTTCCCTCCGGACTTGGCGGTCTCCCTCTTATCGATTAGCTGCGGCTGCCATCGCACTCCCTCTCTTTCCCCCTCCCCCTTCCCCACCAACACCACCATCACCCAGTCGGGCTGCACTTGCAAACATTAATTAGTCGCATTGCATAACAATTGCATAATCAATATGCCATTTCAATTAACTGCTTGGTTAGCAATTAGTCAGCCCACAAGAGCCCCCGCTTTCCCACTTTCGTCCTTCGATTTTTGCTCGCTGGGTTTTGGGGCCTGTCTGTCGGACATTTTAAGTAATTAGCACTCAGTAACTAAAACTACACGGTAGAAAACATTGGGTAGAGTCCTTCTATTATAAAGCTGGTTGGACTGAATCGATAAAAGACTTGCATTTTGAATGGACTTCAGTTCATAATGTATTTCTACCATTCTACTTAGGTTTTAGACTTTAACATTTATCTTCGTACGCCTCCCAACCCAATACAAAGCTTAGCTTTCATCTCAACTCCTTCCCAGCGACATTATTAAAACCCATTAAAATGACAATTTTGACAGCGTTCCATATGCGTGATTTACTTTCTGCTTTAATCTTCGCATTTGCAGTCTCAAGTGGCTCTGTAAATTGCAGTTGAAACAAATCTAATTGAGAAATTCAGAGGTGTGGTGTAAAAGTACTTTTCTTTCTTTCCTTTTTCTTGGGAATTTATTAAACAATTGTATATACATTGTATTTGCGATACTTTAAGCAGGGTGAGTAAATTACATCAGCACCTAAATAGCTTTTAATATAATATAAACATAGGTAAATTTCAAACTTTGGACGGACACTTTGAACTTGATGTTCTCATTCCCAGCGATAAACCCTTGTGTTCCGATGAACCTTTAAAAAGCGGAGATCCCCAATCCCCCCACGTAATTGGTTCGCCGCACATGAGCTCCTGGGGAAGCAGAAGTGGAAAGGAAAGTGGAAAGTGGTCAGGACACAAAAGTTCGATAAAAGGAGTTTCCGTTTCGCATTGTCCTCGAGGACCAGAGCATTATTTCATATTTATAATGTAATCTGCACTTGAGCCTCAAAGAGACGGCGCATAAATCACGAATACAAATGGAGGCGGGCGGGCGTGGCGACTATTCCGAATCCGAATCCGAATCCGCTCGTATATGAATTCCATATTCCATATTCCATATGGCATATAGCATATGGCGTATTCCATATGCAGAGCGTCCACTTCATGGGCTAAAAGCCTTTGTAAGCGCTGCTTTATTTCTATTTGTATTTGTGTTTTTTATTTTATTTTCCAGCTTCTCCGCGCCGCCTTTTTGTTTGATGTTCGACGGCCACTCGAGATGCATTTGGAATAAGTCGTTTACATCGTTTTCATCGTTTTCATCGCTTGGCGAGTGTGGGCGCAATGAAAAGCAGTTCGTGGGGCTGAATGGTTGAATGCAAATGGGAAATTCGCTTCGATTATTGGTTGATTGATCCTTTGATCCGGGCACCTTCCCTCGCCCTCCCTGGATGTCCTTCGCCTTCCTTCGGCAACCAGGGCAGAGTCTCATTAGGCTAAAAGCCTCGGTGGCCAACTAATTAACCGAGGAGGCGAAAGGAACATCTGCCATCGATTGCGCCGCTTTGGCTTTTTGTTTTTGCTCACTTGTCGCTTGTCGGTTGCTGTTGCTGTTGCTGTTGTGGGTCCCCGGGGGAATTGCTCGGCATCGGCATTGTCCCGAATCCCGAACCCGTATCCTTGGCCGACCGCATATTAGCCCACGATTGCCCCGGACTCTGGCATTGTTCTTGCTTAGCCAGCAAGGGCCTTGGACCTTGAAAAGCCTGCCATTTGACTAATGACGAGCCCACAATCACTCCACTCCACGCCGCTTCTATGCGAATGGATCCTTTGGGGTCCGCAATCCGGAATCCGGAATCCGGAATCGTGTGTCCCTGAGAGCAAGTATCCCGTGGAACCAATTATTTATTTGAGCGTTTGGAGTATCGATAAAAGATCCCTTCAAACGATGAAGGTGAGGTTGAGGTTTGGTTGTATATAACAACAGTGTTAGCGATCTGCAGACATAATCAACAAGTACGAGCTATCAGGCATTCAAAGTTGCAGCTAATCAGGGAAAGGGCTTGCAACATTGCAGAGGTCACTCCAATCCAACTGCGGACTGTACCCAAGTCGACACTGGCGACACTGCATCCTTGCGCCGCATTATCCCGGCCATTGTTCCTTCGCTCCTTTCCACTCCATTCACTCCTTTCCCTCCGCCGAAATGGCAGACACGCTCCCAAATGGCGACGTCGCTTTGAGCCACTTGGCAATCGTTAATTTCATAATTACATGTTTCATGCACACGCTCCGAACTCCAAAATGGGGAAGTCCGGGTTGTATGTACACACACACACACACACATACGCATTTGTGTGCGCACGTATGGATGTTTGTGGGTGTGCGAGTGGCACATAAGTGGCAGCCAGCCAGAAAGCCAACACCATTTTGGCCATAATTTAGTTTTGCCCGTCCATTAGCAGTTCAGGCCACACGAAGTGGGCGCTGGCAGTGGACGGGGGACGGGGGCGGGGACGGGGGGGCGGGGCCTTTGTTGCAATGCCACTCAGCGGGAAATCAGCACCGGGACTCCGGCGGGGGCAGGGCGGTGGCCAGGGACTGCCTCGATGAGGACGAAGTGGCCTCGAAGGAGCGGCCACAACAAGCCGGGCTACACGGCAAAAAACAATGCTAGAACGTATAAAAAATAACATATTTCTATTATAAACAAAAAACTTCTTTAAGCTACAAGGACTTTAATCCTCTTCAAAAATACTCCCTGAAATCGGAGGCTGATGTTGCCAGAGTTTTCATATATTTAAAATTTGCGATACGTATTGTTGCCAGTGCTGCGAAGTGCGAAAGGGAAAGGGAGAGGGAGGGGAGAGGGAGAAGTGGCGAAAAGAGAAGGAAACAGGGCAGCGGCAACAGAAGAAGCAAAAGAAGGACGAGTGGATAATTATTAATAATTATCGCATTGACGTGTTTGCGTTCTCGGTTTTTTATATTATATTTTGTATTTTGTATTTTGTATTTATTTTCCCTCGGCGAGGGAGTGTGCGTAAGGGTGTAAGGGTGTGCGTGTGTGTGTGTGGAGTGGATATGTAGCAGTGGTGTAAGTGTAAGTGTAAGTGGTTTAAATAATTGGTCAACTTCTGCTCCACTCCCCCCCGAATTTCCCCTTCTTGGCGGCCACTTGGCTTGTTCTTGCCATTCACATTTCACAACTCAGATTTCCCTGCCTCGGAGGGTTGGCCCAGAGAAGAGGGTTGGGGGTGGGGATATCCTATATAATATTATTTAAAGGAATATATTGGACACCTTATGGTATTTGTTTATTTTGTGCTCAAGCAGTTCGGCCAGCTATTGGTTACTTATTATCTCCGCTAAGGCAGAGTTTTCCCATTACATTTCCCCCTCGCCTGCTTAATGCCACAATAGTTGCAGAACCCTCAATGACGAACCTTCAAAGACCCCTTGTAAGAGTCTTCAGGGGGAAGCCCGTCCACGCCTTTGAAAACTGCGAGCTCATTAAGCTTTAGGCGTATTAAGCGAATTCCGCTCCTTTCAATTATTTCAGCAGAAGCAGCATTTAAATGCGATTCAGACTCAGATTCAGATTCAGGTTCAAAAACGCTCATAATTCAAAATTAATCCCAAACATGGCGTTTTGTTGGCGTTGTTGGGGGATGTCTCTGCATCTCTGTGGACATTGCGCCTAAATGAGCAGCTCACACTTCATAGGCGATCCGAGTGAATGGAAATCTGAATTACAGACTTCAAAAGGGGGCGACATCGCGGCTAAAAGCGGGGGACATCCTGCGCTTTCTGTCTA